TGTTGATTTCTGCTGTCTATTGAAAGGAGTGGCTAATGCTTATTTTTCTTTCTTCTCTTTCTTAATTTCTTATAACGTCTTTTAACCAATTTTGCTTGCTTATATCTGGTAATCTAAACAGCTACTTTAAAGACAATGTTATGCACTATAACAGCCATTGCTCATTTTTTATTATTTTGTTTAGTGAAATTCTGTATCATTTCTAAAGGTTTTTTTTTTAAACTACTTTTTATTTTCTTTAAAAATAAATTTAAAAAAGAAAAAAATGGGGCTGGTCAGAAAGTTCAGGGGACTAAAGTGTCTGCTTAGGCAAGCACAAGGGACCAGGGTTCAATCCTTGGCACCATATGCCATGCTGGCCCACTCCTGGGGCATGCTGAGACAAAGACCAAGACTGGGCATGGTGACGTGTGTCTGTAATCCCAAGTTTTAGCTTGGGAGGCTAAAAACAGGAGGATCAATATGAGTCAGATCTGTGCAGTGAGACCTTGTAAACACTGTACTAAAAATTAAAAAAAAAAATTGAAAAGATTATGATGAAAGAGTGAAGAGTTACCCTGCATGTTACTGAAATACTAGAGAATTCCTGAATTCTCAAAGCACATGCCCATTAGTACCATGGATTTTTAAGAAATGTCACAAACAAATAACATAGTTTTCCTGGTATACCTCCCACTGAAAGATGTGGAAGGGAAAATTACATATTTATTTTTGACTTGATGGCAAGCAGCACTGGAAGCTACACCCGGGAAATGGCTGATCTTGTACGTAGTGGGTGGGGGTACCTCTGTCTTCAGTCTTAACCACAGCTTAAGCAAAAATGTTCCCTACAGCTCAGTGAGAAATACCTTATTATCACCAGAAATCATTCTGAATTAGAGGCCATGTAAATAGAAAATTCTCTTCATAGGAGCCGAGGAACTAAGTGACCAAATACTTTACAATCTGCTTTCTTCTGTAGGCCCCAATAAATAAAGAATCCATCATCAACCTAAAAGACATCTCCCCATTAATCCTCAGTTGATAGAACAAAAGAGTCACCATTTACTTATTCAACATCACAAAGCATATGAAATCAAGGTTAAGAAAAGTTTTTAATTTTATTTTAAAAACCACAGATCAATAATTATCATTTCACTTTTACTGCTTGATACAATAACTAATATCTCTGAAAACTTACTGGGTTGCACGGAATGTTGCAAGTAGAGAAACTCTTGCACGTATGCCTCACAACAAATCTATGTGGCATGCAAGTTTCCCTTTCACTCCCAAAGAATCAAAAGACTGAAGCACTATGTGATAGATCTTTTTTTAAAAATTTATTTATTTATGTGTGTGTGTGTGTGTGTGTGTGTGTGGCCAGCTCAGCCCACCAGGGGTCGGGGCTGGCTGGCATGTGGTGCTGGGGGATTGAACTGCGGTCCCTGTGCTTTGCTAAGCTTGTTCTCAGTAGGTGCTTTAGACCACTGAGCCATCTCACCAGCCCCGTAGATCTTTTAATAAAATATTCTGCAAGAAAATAATAGCAAATTAATATGCATAAGTTTTCTTATGCAAAATGAGTCCAAAAGACTATACGCTATCATGATGTGGCCAGTGGTTGGATTTACTGACGTAGAAATGTTCAATCCTATTTGCATATGCCTGTACCTTGAACTCAATGCTCTTTTTTATCCCATAGTCACCTCTGGCTGTTAGAAAATGACCATGGCTAGGAACGGAGACCTCGAGGAGATACTGAAGGCATGTAACACTGCACATTCAGCCTGAAACCCTGCAGAGATTGACTTCACATAATTTGATGTTTCAATACTTTAAAAATTTTTCCTCCTCTGACCTTTAAGTAGATCCACATGGTTTACCTCTTTTTCTTCCATTTCAAGGACAGTAATGGAAGACAGGCCAAGAATGAGAAGCTTCAAAATGATTTATAAATAAGTACTACACAGAAAAGCCCCTAATGGGCAAGAGAGGAAATTAAACAAGGCCATAACAGGCGGTCAGCAACCCACCCTATTATTCACAACAACAGTAAACATAACAAATTCCCTGAAGAACATAAAGGTCTTCTGTGTTACACTGAGAAATTTTATTATAAAAAACCATACAGTTGTCCAGTTATACTTCAATCAAGGTCAACCTCACTCGTCTCCAGTGGCAGATCTCCGAGCTGTCTGTCTCTCACTGGCTTTTCTGGGTTGGAACCAGCTCAGGACCGTTACCAGCTCACTCAGTAATGCAGGGGCTCTCAAAATAGAGGGCTACTATCTAACTTTCAAAAAAGAACAGGTACAGCACAACAAACCATAGGAAACTGCTAAAAAGGACAGCACAGAACTTTCCGGTTTATGGATGCCAAAGTCTCCTCCAACGCTATCAGAGAAGCTGGAATAAGTGAATCTCAATCATTCACTCTAATGGAGGAGAGAAGAACTACAGATAATCCAGTATTGAATAATCAGCTTTTCAAAGCATCCCTTGCCTTTGAACTTGAATAAAGGTACATCTGGAACTAGGTAATTCATTTTGAACTAAATCTTAAAGCCTCATGCATGAGACTGGGTCCAGGAAGGATTAAGCAGAGTCTTGGTTTCCCCCCCAGTGCTTTCTAAACCCCACTTCTTCTAGTGAGACAGATGGTCCAGGAAGGAAACATAACCCCTCCTCCTTACACTGCAAGGGGCATGATGCTCAGATGCTAGGGAGGCATCCTGAGAGAGCGTGGAGGAGGAGCTAGCTGGCTGGTAATGAAGGAAATATCGTTCCCAATGACTAGACAAGCTAATCCATGGAGACGCTTAGAGATCTCGGCAAAGCAGATCATCACTGTTTTGGCTGCCAGTATTCATTTGCCAGGAAACTGGACCCCACCTCTAATCTGACCCCCGTTTTTCCTTCACAGAGTTCCTCATCTTTTGGAATTATAGCTTTGTGTACATGCTTAATGACTGACTATATTTCAATATTTTTCTCTCTAGCACCCTACCCAGACTCATAAAGAATGTACAGCTAATAGTTGTTGAGTAAAAACATAAAATACAAATACTTAAATGCTAGCAATCCTGAATTTAGAAGGAGGGTGCCAACCTATAGACCTAACACAGTAGGTACTCCCATGAGAAATACTGTGTCAAGACCTTGCTCTGCACAGATTAATAAAATAATAGGCATAATCATCAACATTCAATGATCTAACTTTGCCTATGATGAAACAACTATCTAATACCATGGCAGAAATGTATTAATTACAAAACAGAAGCTCAAATTTGGACCATTAGCTTTTTAATGCCAAGGAAATACAGAAAAGTACCTCTACATAATATACCTAGAGCGGAAAACACTGAACCGCCATTTATTGGAGTCCACTAAAGGAGTGTTATAGACCTGCATTTGCTTGTATTTGGGCCGCTCCCAAACTCTGCAAATGTCTTTTTAAGTCAGAAATTGGGAGCTGGATTTTTGCAACATGTATAACTCTACATTGACAAGAAAATGAGCAATTCCTTACCAATAAAATGTCTAAATCCAAGCCCTGAGTCACCCACCCTCTTCATCTTCACAATAAAGAAAGTGATCTTATACCAAGGAAACTGGGTGCAAGAAGGTGCCTTCTCACAAATTTATTCCTCCTCCTTAATTATGAAACAGGTATGAGAATTCAGGAGCCATGAAATTAATTACTTTTTGAAAAACATTTTGTTCAATTATTCACTGTAAAGAATAAGTGATTAAATACTACCAAATCTGTCTTGGCAATTCTGCGGAAGACTTTCTATTGACGTTTGCACCTGGCCTAATCAAAATTGATCATGAAAACAAAATAAAGTTGTTGCTCAGTAACCTCAGGGGATTATACCTAGGACTCCTGTGGATAACATAATTTGAGGACTTTCTTATGTAAAATGGCCTAGCGTTGGCCCGTGAACAATATACATCCTCTTACATACCTTCAGTCGTTTCTAGGTTACTCAGAATAACGGCACAATGCACACGTTACGTAAATCATCATTACTATATTGTTTAGGAAGTAATGGAAAGCAAAGGTCTGCATTTTCCATACAGGTAAGCGGTTTTTTTTTTTCTGAAATATTTTCAATCCTTGGCTGGCTGAATCTGAACTGCAGATACAGAAGGCTGACTACCAGACAATAACTAGACTGCTGGACAAATTAATCTTCCGAGAGGATCTGCCCTCGGAGATCACCTTCAGCTAGTTACTCTTCAGCGGACATAATACCTGCCAAGCAGAGGTGCTAAATGTTACCTTTTATTCTTCATACTAAGTAGCATATATTTCACATACAATCATTTGTTCTGTAACTACCCCCAAACTCTTATCTATATAATTAATCTACTGCAATCCACAGGTAACAGAACTGAATAAACCATCTGTCAACACCATCGGTCCAAATGGGCTACAATTTGCTCCACAAGTATCCCCAAATTATCTTATACACCGTCGGGTTTGTCCCTGACTGTATCCTGCACTGCCTTAATTCTCTTCCCTGTCTCTTATGTGGCCAATATAATTCAGCAGTCCCCTGCTCCACTGTCATTAAACTTATGCAAGTATTTGTGTTTCCTTCTCCCACTGATGGTGTGTACCTGGTGTCAAATATCATACCATATTAAACAATGAAAACATGGACTGCACTGCTTCAGTTGAATCCATCCTGTTTCTTGTCTTATCTGCAACACACTGTCTACTTTCAAGCCATATTACATGATGCAATTACTGCTTCAGTAATCCAAACCTTCCACTAGTGGAGGAAGTGATATTTTTTTTTTTTATTTTTATTTTAGGGAAGGGTCTAGAGGGTGTTCAGGGTCTCACTACTAGATTAGACTCGTAGTGATCCACCTGTTTACAGCCTCCCAAGAGCTGGGATTACAGGCACGCGCCACCATGCCCAGTCTGGAAGTGACACTTACAAAAGAGCAAAACTCACTGGTCTCTGCCCACGGGGCACAGGCTCAGCCACTGACAGGACAGCACTCACCTTCTTCTTCCTCCTCCTCTTCTTTTTCTCTTTGGCTGCCTGGGCTTGCTTGTGCTCCCAAACCAGGTTGGTGAGATTGGCCACATACTCATCAGTCTGCTGCAAAAGGTAAGCTAAGCGCCTGTCTTTCTTCTGATCAATCAGTTTCCTATAGCCCTCTTCATCCTCAGCCTGTTAACGAAGGGAGAGAAGGGCGAGAGTGTCACACAGCTACAGATAGCTCCATCTCACACCAATCCCTCCACTTGACATCTGGAGCTTGGTGGTGAGCGGAGCAGACCAGGTGAGCCAGGACGCATGGGCGATGGCAGAGAACCTGGGCCTGAGCAAGCGGACACTGCACAGCACTGCCGCCCAGGACCTGGGGTCACGGCAAAGTCAGAGCACAAGGCCCCGCTGTGCGAGGTCTGATCAAGTCCCAGGAGGCAGCGCTTGGTTCGTCTTTGTTTCTTGTGCTGCATAAAACTTCAAATATGACAATCACACCTCTGAAGCCTATTTTTAACTTTGTACTGTATCTTGGAAATTTTTAAATGCTGTATAATCTGAAGTAGAGAGCATGGGACAGTCACTCATATGAGCAACACCAAGCAACAAAAACGACCTTATGGTGACGGCTGATGTGTCGTTATCCTTTTGCCAACTCTTCCCCTAGCCCCAAATTAGACTGTCCAGAGCAAATTCCAGATAAAATATTCTTTCCCTCATAAGTATTTCAGTAAGACAAGGAATGGAGTGGGCTTTAACACATAATTTCTTAAGCTTAGAAACATTTCCCTTTTCTCTTTTTAGCATTCAAACCATGCTGTTGGTAGGAAAGGTCAACTTTAGGGGAGTTCTGCAGAGATTTTCACTGAGTTCCAGCCCCAGCTAGCTAGAGACAAGTCATCCAGCACCTGAAGTCTAGTACTGCTGGAGTAAAACACAGAGATGGCAATTTGCCCTGCATCTCTCATGAAGCACCATGATGAGCTTAAACAGAAGAAAATTCTGATGTACTCTAAGTGATTTTGAGAGAAATCTTTTTTCTACATGCTCAGTGAAAGAACATTCCAAAATATTTTTCTCATGTGATGCCTGGATAAGAGGGGCATGCTGCCAAATCCTCAAGAGGCAATTCCATCACAGGAAAACTCAGGGTCTTCAGTTGTCGGTGTCACTCCAGTATGTGTGCGAGCAACAGCAACTTCATCACTCAGTCTGCCTGCTGTCTGCCCCATGAATGAGCGTGAACTTCCAATGCTATTATAACTCTAATTGCTTTTGGTTATGGTTGATCTCACTTGAAGAAAGAGTGATAAAAAAAACTTCAGTTTCTCCATTATCTGTATATTCCATCATTTAATTGCAAAAATTAATGATTTGCAAATGCCTAATCATTAGTGTCAAACCAATCTGTTACTGAAGTTCTAATATAGTTTCCCTTCGGTTGAGTCAGGCAGATGTGACTGCTGACTGTTCTAATCACTATAAAACGGTCTCCGCAGCTAGTGAGAAATCTCTTGGACAGTTGTCTCTCTCCTCAAATAGAGAGAGGCATGATAAAATGGTAAAATTTTTTGGAATGTCTGGAGCCAGAGCCTTTAAAAAATGGTGCTTACTCTTTAGAATAAAATCAATTTAATCAAAGTAAGATGCAAATTATAATGTCAGCAAGGGAGACAGAGTTACTCAGAATCTTCCAAGGACGTAATTATGGACTGAGCCTTTGTCTTCACCCATTCAGGTGTGATGTCCCACACAGATCCGCAGGTCTCCTACCATCACCATTGCAAACTGCCTCCAGTTTTCTAAAATCTTCTGTGCATTTTGTCCAATTTCAAAAACAAACTGTCAATAAAACCAAATTCTCAGGCCAGTGAAATAAACCTAGCTCTCCCAGTGCTTTATATAGCCATTATAACCTAGAAGTGCAAATGTAACCATCCAACAATAGCTTTTAAGAATAACACAGCTACTATCAAAAAGCACATTTCAAAATTAAACTAAAATCACTTTTATAATGTTAGAGAATGATTTCTGCCATTTAACAACAATAACAAAAAAGGTAAGCGCCAGAGACCTCACTAAAGAGAACTCTAGGCTGGAGATGGAGCTCAGAGGTAAAGCTCTTTCTAGTATATTGCAAAGCCTGATGTTCAATCCCAGCAAAAAAAGACCAAAAACCAGAACAGAATATTAGCAGGCAGCAGTGCACACCTATAATCCCAGCCAGGGTAATTTAGCAAGACCCTGGCTGAAAATAATTTTTTTTTTAAAAAAAGGGGCTGAGGATATAGTTCAGGGCCTAGTATATACAAGGCCCTGGGTTTAATCCCTAGTACTGCATTAAAAAAAAAAAAAAGCTTTTACAACTTGTTAAATTCAAAGACACTCTAATGAGTTATTCACTCAACTTGGGACATTAATCCCTAAGAGGTCATCTTTTGCAAATAGCTGAATTTGCCATTCTTCATGATCTTGTCATTAATCTGGAAAATACAGCCCCTGCCTGTCTGTTAAGAAGCCACCATCTGTACAGCAGAGGTACCTTAGGACACAGAAATGCTACATTTGGCAGGAATGGCCCCAAATTGTGACATGCACTGTCAAGGAAAGAAAAAAATGGTCTTCTTTCTATCCTCTACACATTCACAGCAAGAGGTCTGCTGACTGGCTTTCATTTTCTCCTCCTCCTCCTGCCCTATCTCACACTCTCCTGCCACTTGCCACTGCTCCTGCTCCTCGGCTGGCCGCAGGCCCTTACCATGAGTCTCCGCATCCTCTCCTTTTCAATCCGTTCCGTCTCCTTCTTCTGCTCTCTTTCAGTGTTTGCATGCCAGGTGGCCACTGCTTTGGAAAGTTTTTGGATCTTCCCGGCCACAGATCGATGGTATTCCTTAAAATCTTTCGCATGTTGCAGAATACTATTCAGGTACTCCTAAAGAATTGATGGACAAGGAAGAAAAAAGTTCAGATCCATTTTCCAGTGTTTTGTGAGGTATCAGCACAGGCCAAGAAGCATCTCAGCTCACATGTCACACACTTCAAAGACCAGAATTTCCTTTTAGAGTGGGCTTCCTCACGCATCTCTGCGGTTGAGGTGTGGGCTAGGGGATGGGGGAAGACAGGCCCTCCCACACCTAAGATGCGACAGCACCATGGAAAAGCATCATCCTCACTGCCAGGGTGTAGCTGCTGGAGAATGGAGAGACCAAAGGCCGAGGGAGACTCAAACCTGGCAATACTAAAGCAAAGCCACTGTTCACCCTAACATAATCCAGAGCGTCCTGGGTATTTCCAGTTCTAAACTAATGTTTCTTCTACTCTTTATTACTTCAGAACTATAACACAAAGTAAATTTATGCAAAGCTATCGTTGCCATGCATAAATTATATTCACTTTTTAACGCAGCAGAAACATGCTAGAACCTTAACCTCCCAATTCACACGCTAGAATGTTAGCCTCCAAAGTAGTAGGACATGGGACTTTTGTGAATGGGATTAGTGCCCATATAAAGGGACCTGGAGGAGTTTCCCTTCTTGTCTCCTTGACACCTGTAGATAAAACCTAGTCTGCAACTTGAAAGAGGGTTTGCACCAGAGCCTGGCTGTGCTGAAGTGCTAACCTTGAACTTCCAGGATTCAAAACTGTGACAAATAAATTTATGTTGCTCATAAGCTATGCAGACTCTGGTTTGTTTTGTTTTTGTTACCGCAGCATCAGGGGACAATACTTGACAGGAATCTCAGGCAGCTGGGTCCTAAATCTCATCCTGCTACTGACCAGTTATAACCCTGAGCAGATGCTCATTTATCATTTCTGTCTCGGTTTAAGTGTCTTGGGTGATAAAATGATATGGCTGGGCTATGTGAACTCCGAGACACCTTTCTGCTCAGTGATGTCACCGCCGCCCACCAGAGGACACCTTTCCAGTTCCTCTGACTGTGTCCCACTTCTGCCCGAGAAAGGGCAAGCGAAACCCAGAATAGAAGGACCTGGTGTTTCTGCCGGCGCTTTCGCTCTTGCTCGATCTTCTGCTGCTTCTCCAGCTTCTCGGTCATGCGTGCCTCTCGCAGTGTCTGGCGCTTGCTCCGTTTGTAGGCTTTGGAGTTGAGTGCTGTCTCGAGCGTAGTGTCCCTACGCATGCAGGCCACCACCTCCTGTCTCAGCTGTTGAGAGGAGAGGGGTGAGACAGCATCCGAGCAGAAGCCAGATTCCTGAGCTGGCCTTTACTTGTTTCTATTTGATGGAGTGGAATGGGACTCCAAACGTTCATAGTCATTGTCTTTTAATCAATGAACTAGAGTCATGTCAAATTTACGTGGTATATTCAAGGATGCTATAAATTTTCTTTCCACATAATTCAAATAAAAAAATTATAGTGCAGTAATGGCTAAAAAAGTGTAGATATTGTCTTTAACACATTAACTCATTCTGCTGTTTTCCTAATGATGTTAATTAATAAGCTTTTAAATTTTTGCATTTCATTTTAAATGCCATAGTAACACTCTCTCATGTTTAAAGATTACCTTTCACAATGATCTTCAAAATGAATAAGAGTTCCTTTCTATTCATGTTGTACAGTACCAGCAGAAACTCAAACAACATGAATTCATATCCTCAAACAATGGAAAATAACTGGTCTCAGTTTCCTCCCGCTTTACTCATAATAGTCATTGAAAAATATTTAAATTTTATATCATAGACTTGTCTTAGATGATCATCAATAGAATATTTTATTCATACTGCATGTCATGTGGCAGTAGTGGGCAGGGACTTGAGTACACATTCTAATAATCATTCAATTGAATCTGAAATCGGCATCAATTATAATTAATACAATGAGGAAACTTTATGGATAATAAATTTTTCAATAATATCAACTAAAAATCAAACACTAGCATCCTAAAGCTAATTTGAATATAAACTCGTTCCTGAAAATATACTTCACTAATGTTTGTTTAACAAAACACCATCAAACTTTACTGATTCACATTAAGCAGTCACCTATAAGAAAGAAGCAAATAGAACCTGAAAACTGTTTTTCTTTTTGAAAATTTAATCTGAAACCTACTCTCATAGTCCCATTGCACAAGTAGCACCCAACCTGCCCATCTGTAGTGTGACACCCACTGAGTCACAGGCTACTCCCAAGTTCACATGACAATAGCATGTGGTGGCCACGGGACTTGAGTCCCATCCTCCAACACACAAAATCATGCAATGCTGTACTTCAAAACTACATGTACTCATTAGCAATTCATCTTGCATGTGCCACACTTTAACCATCTGGCTGACAGCGAGGTCCTCTTTATTCCCTTTAGCTTAGTAAGGCAGTCGGTGGACTAGTAGAACTGCACCTTTTGGGGCGACACAGCAAACCTCAGAAAAGGGCAAATTAGTTCTGCCTCACTCCACTAGCCTCCTACTGATTTCGAAATGAGAAAATAGATGTTATACCAGCTCTTAATAAGTAACTACTATGAACCATAACAAGGCCTGAAAATAACTTGCTGATTAGTCAATATGTGATGAAGGGCCCCAAAGTTAGATTCTGATATATAATCAAGTGCCAAGACATTGTTTTAAGACTTTCTGGAAATGATGAGCTATTAATTCCACAGAGGAGCTATTTATCCTTGTTAAAATTTTTCCCACAGTTAGGGCTCATGTTTCACATTTGCGCTAAGAAACTCGGGTCTACTGCCTTCCTGCTTACCCATGGAGTCAAAGGAGCCATCCCCAACTCTTCTCAAGGCCTTTCATTCATCCCTCTGATTTTGTACACCAGAATACAGGAAAAAGATGTTTCTGGTATACAGAAGATGAAAAGCGTAATAAGCAGTTCATCTTTATTGTGTTTATCTACTGTTGAACTAAAAGATACACTACTTTACTAAGTTTATATCTTTATAGCAGATAAAGAGGCTAAAGGAAAGTCACAAATAACACTTTAGGAACAACTGCATTCATTTCCTAGATCTCGGACTCATTGGGGAAAAGGCATTACCTGACGTTGGAAATTAAGTAACCGAAGTGCTTTCAGTTCCACTGTTGCTTTGGTTCGTAAATCCGGTGGCAAAGAGCCAGGCAGATTTTCCAGTTCTTGTATCCTATGAGCTATGCGTGCCTGAAGTCTGAACAGAAATAATAAAATGGGGCAGTGGAAGAGAGGAACACGCATTACAATTTAATCTTCAGTGATCAACAATAACCTCAGTTCAAGTTCACAGAAACGTCTTCCAATACTGATAGAAAATTCCAATACCCAATTAGGTGTTTTGATGTCAAGCAGAGGCAAGACTACCTTTGAGTTAATGCAGACAAGTGCTACGTGTTACTCAATACTGTCTACCTAACTCCTCACTAATACCTAGAAGGAGGGCTCATACTACATCTAGGGGCAAGTCACATGTTCTTGCTTCTCTTAACAAATGAAGAAAATGAGAGGACATTTGAGCTGTGCCTCAGCTTCAGCCAGCCAGAATACAGAGCTGAGACTATAGATTTGTGACTTGCAGGTCTGTCCTCAGGCCATCAAGCCATCTGCCTTCCTTGCCAAAATGCTGATGACAACAGCAGCAAAAGTGGAGTAGGCAAGACCAACTGTAGGCACTGAGGCCACCAGATCAGCTAGCCCATAATATTCTGAAAGAGTCCTGTCAACCACAGCTACTTCCTTTGTACACAGTGCTTACCTTGGAAAAGAACACAGATTAAGCATTTTTAAAAATCAGTGACTACACAATATAGCCTTTAAAATCTAAGGTATTCTAAGCCCACTGTGGTGGTGCAAACCTGTTAGTGCAACACTCAAGAGGCTGAGGCAGGAGGATGCCTATGAGTCCAAGGCCAGCCTGGGCTACATAGTTAGTCCATGGCTAACCTGAACTACATAGTGAGACCCTGCCTCAAAAGAAAAAAATAATCTAAGTTTCTACAAAAAGATGTAGGGTAATCTCATTTTGGACATCATCAAAATGTAACTGCAGGGCCAGGTAGATAGCTTGGCAGCCTAAGCGCCTGCCTGGCAAGTGCAAGAACCTGAATTTGACCCTCAGTACCACATGCCATGCTGGCCCCGGAACCCCAGGCATGCCCTGCCAGCCCAAATCCAGGCATGGTGGCACGTGCCTGTAATCCCAGAGCTGGGGAGGCTGAGATAGGAGGACCACTATGAGTCCGAGCTGCATAGCGAGACCCTGTACCAAATAAATAAATAAACAAGCAAATGAACAAATAAATAAAACTGTAGACACATCATCAAAATTAAAGCAAAATAGAAAATAAAAGTCATCACTCTTCATCTATTTGGGATACTACTACTGTTATACACATAAACTAGTTTTAAATTCTATTCTTATAAATAATGATGGGCCACTTATATCTATTTTAGGATGATCTCCCTCTAAATTGTCTTGAAATAATTTCAAAAAAGAAACGTAAAACGAGACATAATGTGTTAAGGTAGTAACGACTAAATGCACTTAGTTTTTTAAATACTAAGTTATTAAATATACATTTTTAGTTAATTATCTTTCTTCTTTCATTACCCCTTCTCTCTCTCTTTACACACACACACACACACACACACACACACACACGGTGAGTGCTACAATGAGCCCACTGTACTGATTAGAAAACTGAAGATAATGTTTACATCAGAAAGCTAGGAAAGGAATCAAAATTGAAATCCTTATTAAATTGATACCCAAACCACTATGATACAAAGATAGATAATTAAACTACAACTTGGTGAGGACTTTCTTGGACCTCTACTACTATAAAAGGTAAAAGTGAAGGATATTGTTAACTGTTAACATTATATTTGTTTTCAAACTTTTAGATGCTGAACATTAATATGAAAGAGGAAAACGTTCTATGACTTAGGTGTTATTTGCCACAGCTCAAATACCAAAATGAATGCTTTTGAAAAACCTATGGTTGATCGATTGGGGACATAAATAGTGTTACCTTTTTCAAAAATTTCAAAGTAATTGTGAGAAAAGAATGACTTATTTTTCATTGACTTCACTGAAACAATATTCTTGCTTTATTCGGTACATGCTTGTTATTGATTGTGACTTATTGAGTAATTTATTCATTTTTTAATTTTTAAAAAAATCTTTTATTTACTTATTTGGTACAGGGTCTCACTATGCAGCTCAGACTAATAGTGATCCTCCTGTCTCAGCCTCCTAGCTCTGGGATTACAGGTGTGCACCACCATACCTGGTTGCAGGGTGCATATGGCATGTGGTCCCAGGGATTGAACCTGGGTCCTTGCACTTACCAGGCAGGCTCTTAGATCACTGAGCTATCTCCCCAGTTCACTGAGTGATTTATTATCATGTGTTAATATTGCAACTATGACCACACTGCTATTTTAGCTAAACACATCAATACAAATCAGAGCACTCATGAATGGTCTAAACATTCAATGGACTAAAAAGTGTGTTAATTCAAAGAGCAACAATTGGCTTCATTATTTTCTTTTAGAAAAAATCATTCAAATTCTTCAAATCTCTTTTACTACCAAGTCACACAACTATCACCATGTTTTTCACTGACTATACGAAAAAGATATCTACTTCATTTATCCAGTTCATTTTCTCAACTATGCATACAGCGCCGCCTCTAAACACTGCTGTAGATGACGCATCTTAACTCTTAGGGCATTCATGGAGAAGTTCGTTGAAAGGAGGAAAAAAAGAACTGAAACAGCTTTACCTTTGCACTACTTTATGCCCTCATGATTATGGCCACGCTCAAGGAAATTTAAATACAGTAGTTGGGTTACCCTGCCTCATCGGTTCTAGAATCTAGATTTACTGCAGACCTCTCTTACTTGAATACTCTCAAATTCAAGCCATGCCTTGGTATTCTGGTTACCTCTTCTCAACAAAGTAAGTCAGGTGCTAAAGTAGAGGATGCCTCTTTGTCCTCTTTAATCTTCCACAGGGCTGTGCCACTAGGAATAAATAAATAACCACAGTCCACAGGGGCTGACAGTGCAGAGATTATGTCACACTGAGCTACCAGGGGGAAACCAGGAGAAGGAAGGGGAAGTGAGGAGGTGGCCAGGATGTGCAGTGACAGGCTACGGGGTCCTGGGGCACTGGAGTGGCTGAGAGGTGGGGAGTACAGCGCCTTCCTCCATGCAGCAACTGCTTCTCCGAAGACTTCAAAATTGGTCAGTGAATCTGAGTCCCCAGCACAAAAGGATCTTTTCTTTTATGAAAGAGGCAAAAAGTACACCATGCAAACTCGAGTAAAGGAGGAAAAGATTCACAGTGAAATTACATACAATCGATTCAGTATACAGGAGTGGGGTAGGAAAAGTACAGGGGGGGGCTCCTTAACACAAAAAATTACATCTTTGTTGTTGTTGTTGTGCCTAATAGAAATCTTCATTGTAAATAATGCTCTTCTCCAGACAATTTCATCTTCCCATAAATGGGATTCAGCAGGTAGTCCTGATAAAGAGATTCAGGATTCTCTACTTCCCGAAACAACAACAATATACAATCCTGCGAGACTGCGGGGGACTCATTTAGGGTCCTTGCGAGCATAGAAAATTGAAGCAGAATTAGGTCACTCTGGTTTTTCATACAGATGAACAGTAAATCAAGAAGGGTTACTGTTCTGGCAAGAAAGAGTTCCATTAAAGGCAACAGATATTTGTTCAGGTCCAGAGGAGAAGTTTATGATTCCTGGAGGAGGGTTATTTGAACAGAAAATGACACTGGTACATTTTGTTCCTTCAAGGAGCTGAGTGACACTTTAAAAAAAGAGAGTGAGAGCATGTGCGACTTTTGGTAACTGCTGGTAAAGCAGCTATTGGTAATTTTTGAGAAGGAATTTTCAGGGCTGTGTTGGAGACAAAGGCAGGACAAAAATAACACAGGTAAGAGGCTTCTAACACAAGCAGACTGAATGACTAATTTAATGCCAAATTCTGGCTCAATTCCAAAGGACAAGATACCATTCACGTGTGAAATACAATGTCCACGTAAACGTTTGTGGGATTAATTGATGTGAAGTACATCTGGCCAAACACCTAACCCTAATGCAAGGAAATGACAGAAGATACTTCATAGGACAAAGAAAGCTGTGCTCAAAAGGGAGGGAAAAGCAGCAGGGAGAGAGCTCTGAGGCTACAGCCAGAAGCAAGGATGTTCCGTGAAAAAAGAAAAAGAGTCTTAAAAGAATGAATCAAAACAGGGAAAACATTTTAACTAAAGAGCTTGCAGGATCAGAGGCAAAGTGTTCACATGCAGAGACTTATTTATGCAAGGACTGAAGAAAGGTCAATTTGTCAAATGTTTGATTGAAGATGAACAAGGAAAAGCAGTCAAATGAATTGAAAGTTTTAAAATTTAAGATTTTTACAATTTCCCGTCAGTGCTCATGGATATGGTGAGTGACATCACACAGACTGAAGAAATCAACATCTGCTGGAGAATCCCTGACACATGATTTTTGCTCAAAATGTATCAAATTGTGAAAGAGGTTAAGACCTTAATGAAATCTTTCTCCAAGTGATAAAGTTCAGTAGACCCTTGTAACACTCAGGCTGGAGGCTAGCAAGGCATTCTAGTACAGAAGACCAAAAGAAAAAGTCTCGCGTCTTTCACAAGTGTCTAAGGGACTCAATTTAACCCTTTCAGTGGACAAATGTAAATAATCTCTGCAGTCATAGGATTAATACTTATCTAGGCAAGATCTGTCTATTACTCTGTAATTAAAGATAAGCCATGCCCCTGTCCACGTAAATGTTTGTGGGATTAATTGATGTGAAGTACATCTGAAGTACACTGCCAGGGGACCGGGGAGATGGCTCAGTAGGATAAGTGCTTGACTGGCAAACGTAAGGACCTGAGTTCAATCCCCAGTTCTGCCAAAAAAAACAAAAAAACAAAAAACAAAAAATAAATTAAAAAAATAAAATTTTGCCAAAAAAAAGAAAAAACCAAATGAAGTACACTGCCAGGGCAAACCCATGTAGCTTCTCCAGATGATCACATGAAAATGCAGGGTGAAGTTTCTACCAGGGTCTCAGACTGAGGGCTTTCCAGATTTTCAAAACTCGTACAGCTTTGTAAAAGAAAAAGCATATTTCAAGCAACAACAACAACAGGAGAAATAGCTATTCCATCCATTCTGTGCACAGATACAATTTTTACTGACACAGAAGTAAAGGATAACAGTTTTTTTTTTTTTTTTTAATACAGTGAAACAGTGCTAAATGCTACATGCTTTGAGAGAGAATCTACTGAGACCAGGCTTCTGAAATAGGTACTAACATGGCCTCATCCCATTGAAGATCGACCTACAATTAAAACTCTGGCAGAGTGATATAGACGATTTAAAGTAAAACAGTGCACGTGTGTGCGCATGCACACACACACACACACACACACACACGAAACAGGCTGAGTAAAGCAGGAAAGACCAGCAATCATGTAAAATTTTCAGGTAGAGAGAATGTGTTATGAGAGAGTTCATAGCACTTAAAAAAGGTATTGCTAGGCTTTCGCCTCCAGGACAGCACAAAATGAAGGCGGGGGAGCAAACTTTTGCAGCAGCTACACAATACTGTTTTATCCTATTACTAACTTTTCTTCATTACTTTTAAAATTCTTTCAGCAGTAACATTTTCTAATACATGAAGATAGCTCTTCTGCCATGGATGTACTCACTAGTAGTTGGATTTATAACACAGAAAAATTATTGATCCAAAAGAATTTGCCTATCAAACACTATTAAAGTATCATTCAATGATGAGCATCCAACATTCCAGGTGTACATGACATATTGAATAAAATAAAAGTCCAAAATATATGCTGCATCTGATGTGCCTTTAGTCCCATCATGAAGGAGGCTGAGGCAAGAGGATCGCCCAGAGTTTGAGGCCAACTTGGGATAACAGTGAGTTTGAGGCCAGCATGAAATAATATACGTGAGACTGTCTTAAAATATATATATATATGGTTTTAATAACCAGACAGAGTGGCACAGGCTTGTAATGCCAATTAGGCAGGATTATACATCCAATGGCCAGTTACTGGGACTCTTTCAGAGCAAGTCTAAACACTAAATATATTTTAGTCTAATACCAAAGGCATAAATCATGTGCTTTTCTTTTTTTTTTTTTTAAATTTATTTATTTATTTGTGTGTGTGTGTGTGTGTGTGTGTGGCCAGCTCAGCCCACCAGGGGGCGGGGCTGGCTGGCATGTGGTGCTGGGGGATTGAACTGCGGTCCCTGTGCTTTGTTGAGCTTGTTCTAAGTAGGTGCTTTAGACCACTGAGCCATCTCACCAGCCCCATGTGCTTTTCAATAAAACTTAAACAAATGCTTTCAGGGCCAGTGAGATAGCTCAGTGGACTAAGCATCTGCCTAGGTAAGCACAGGGACCAGGGTTTGATCCCCAGGACCACATGCTGCACCAGCCCTGCCCCCAGGGCACACTGAGCCACTGAGCCTGGGCGTGGTGGCGCAGGCCTGTAATCCCAGCGCTGGGGAGGCTGAAAACAAGAGGAGCACTATAAGTCCAAGCTGTGTAGTGAGACCCTGTACCAAATACATTTAAAAAAATTTTTTTTTCAAAGGGATCTCAAATATTATCTACCGACACTATAATTTTATAATCTAATTTTATTTGATTTTTTTTTTTTTCGGTACCAGGGATTGAACTCAGGACTTTGTACTTGCCAGCAGGTGCTTATTCTATTGAGCTATCTTCCTGGCCCCTGAAATTTAATAATGGTTAGGGATCATGATAGTCAATATTTGCTGACTGTTCCTGTATCATTGCATCTTCCCAGCTTTTAAGGAACACTGTAATACTTTCTTTGAGCATGAATGAGAACAGTCACAGGAAAGAGATCTATCTTGACCAAGGTAACGGAGCTAGTGAGTGAGTGGTAGAGTATGCTTCCTAGCAACTCCAGAATCCAATGCTATAGTTTTATCTTGACTCAGTCCTTTAACCACCCTCACCCCCTTTGGTTGATATTTAACCACTTAAATGAGATGTCTAACTATAGTCCATGGCCCATAAATCCTGGTCACAATCTGTTTTTATAAATAAAGTTTTATTAGCATGAAGCTGATCATTATTATCTATGGATATAGTCATACAAAAAGGACATAGCTGGGTATTTGTGTCTGAGACCCAAAGCTCCACAAAGTAAAAAAGGTTCTATGGCATTCCTTTATCCCAAGGCCTAATTTAGCTAAATGCATCCAATCAGGTAAAAATAAGTTGCAGGAGCATGAATTTAAATAAGGACTCCAGCTAAGGACACTGACGGGGTTTTCCCAGCAAACTGAAGCAAACAATGGACTAAAACACATGTGAATTAAAACTAAGACTATCTAAGATCAAGCTAGTAAAATGGGCTTTAGAATCAGGAGTAGTACCACTAATTTGAAGATGGACCTCTGGCCATTTCAGCTGTTCAAGGACACAAAGTGACAGACAAGGTTACAGCATGGCACGGTCTCAGCGTGAGAGGGCCACTCTGTGGGACCAAGCCGGGCTCTGCATCTTCAGGTCTGCAAGGCAGGGGCACATTTTAGGTGGGTAAAGATTGTCCAACTGAAATGGCACCAATCTAGTGCCACCACGGGCCCTCCCCAGACCAGGCAACTCCTCCTGGCTTTGCTCTCCCGTCATTCCCACTGCCGAGCTTCTACCTCAGAACTGCAGCTCTTGCTCTGACCCTGAAAGATGACCACAGCCCGGGAGGCACCTCAGCCCCCAGCCTTGGGGTTGAAGGCCCCTGTGGGACACCACGGCACGCAGCGGGCAGTACCTGTACTCCCGCTCCTGCAGGATCTCCACGGGGTCCAGGCCCTGAGGTTTCTGTATGGGGCTGATGCGGCTCTGCTTCTGCTGCAGCTGCAGGATGGGCGAGGGCTGCCCGGGGGCTGGCTGTGGGACAGAGGGCCCAGGCACGGCGGCGGCAGCAGGCGGTGCGGCGGCAGGGGGTGCAGGCGAGGGCCGACCGCTGGGCGCAGGCACCTGCAGCTTCTGTGGAGCGCTGGGCCCACCCAGCACGTCCAGCCCCGTGCCTGCGGACACAGAGCAACATAGGCAGGGCAAGCGGGGAGACATCCAGCTGCCCACCCTCTCACCCCCATTCCCGGCCCAGGATGGGACCTGTAAAAGTCTCAGACACTCGAGGGAGAGAGGCCAAAGGAGGGCAAGGGGGTGGGGGTGAAAGAAAAGAAGGTGACATCTGTCCCCGTGGAATTCAGTCATTATTGAAAATGGTCCAAAGATGACTCTTAGGTAATGAATTAAGGAAATGATGGGCTAGGTTTTAATGTAGGCCTACAAGTAGGCTTTTGTTTTGCTTTTGAGAATGACAGATGCATTCAGACTTCAGAGAAGAGGCTTACACAGCAGTTAGACCCACTGGGGATTGGTCCTGAGCTCACTTTCGCAGCCCACACTGCGGTCCTTTTCTGCACACCTCCTTCCCAAGCCCTCCCAAGCCTGCAGGCCGGGTTGAAGGCCTACAAGTAGGCTTTTGTTTGGCTTACAGAACTTCACAAGTGACTCGGAGCTTGCAAGTCTTTCTATGGACTGAAAGGCACTCACATCTTCCTCGAGTGGGCTTTAAAAAGCACCATTTCAAGTTTATCCATCTAAGCTGAGGATGTAGCCCCTTGGTGGAGCACTAGTCCAGCATGCAAAAGGTCCTGGGTTCAATTCCCAGAACCACCCCTGTGCCAAGTTTATCCATTTAATCTTGGAAACTTAAAAATATTACTATGTAGGGGACTGAGTCTCAGCACCACATGCCACACCAGCCCCACCTCCAGGGAGGACTGAGCCATGCCGTACCCCCTCAAAAAAAAAGTAGTGCTGGGACTATGGATTACAAAATATTTCTAAAAACATTCAATGTCAGGAAAAGAATCTGTTCATTTCCTTAATAAAAAAATTAGCAAACAATAAGGTGCAAGAGAACATTTTTCTCATGTTATCAGAAGAAAAATAACTTATAATCTTTAAGCTTATCAAAATACATGTAATATGCTAATTTAAAGTCATTTTCTATATTAAACCTCAAGAGTTTAAGTTAATTGCTAGGTATGGATTGAAAATAAATTTTCTACCTCTCCTTCTAAGTGAATATTTAGTTACCTTAAAATTATAAATAAGATTAGTGATGCTACCAGATGAATCGGTAAATTAAAGAAAAAACTTCAGCAGATGTTACAACCACTAATAGGCATTCTGCCAAGTATTTCTATATCCTTTCTAAGAAAATATGCTATTAAGTAGCAACAACAATAACAGTCTATCTACTTCAGAGTGGCTTCGTAATTAAGCCTAGGAAGATATACAGCATGAAAATGACATATATTTATTCAATTTATAACAAACACCACTCAGAAATGGGCTTAAATGACAATGCAAAGACAGTGATACGCAAACATTTTGACAGGAGGAAGGTGAAGAACCAGAACTGCTGGGGAAACCACAGAGTGTGTGTACAGTTGGCGCAAGTGTACTAGTGTTCTCTGCGTGGCATCAAAGTTGTGTTGTTATTCCTTTACATCTGAAACTACGCAACACTTTCCAAAAGATACAGAGTTTTTTCCTTGAGGTAGTTTTCAGCCTTAGTTCTAGGGGGTTGATCAAAGTCTTCTAAAAGGAAAAAATGCTCCCTATTTGAATTTTCTGGTGCTTTCTCTAGGGGCTGCATTACATAGCTTTTCTTTTTTTTTTTTTTTTTTTTTTCTAAATTTTTACCTTTGCTAGTCTTTGTTATGATCATTAGAATATATTCATGGAACAATATATAGGGTTCATGAAGTTCTCCCATATGCAAATGATATAGTTGATTGTATCCGTTCTCTCTACCCCTGTCTCCCCCTGATTAGAGTCTTTTCCCCTTTTCTAAATAGTCTATTTTAGATGTTTTAAATTTTAGATATTTATCATTATAATGAAAGTTTTTATAGCCAAATAGTCTCTGATTTTCTAAGATAGATTATACACAGCTCTTCATAATATTTTTTATTTAGAGTTGCCTTCATCCACATATGAGAAAAGAATTCCTAAATATTAAATCTCAGGGTTGTTAAGCACTGGTATGAGTTATGGAAGGAAGTTTTAGAATATGTTTCCCTACAGAACTTTAAAATGGGACATATTTTTCATTTGGGTTGCTTTAGGTATGATCCACTCAAATGAGAAGAAATATAGATTTCTAACCTTTATTTTAATTCTCTGTGATCCTATGAATCTCTAATAAGCTCAAGAAGCGAGTAGAATTAAATATATTGGAAGCTCGAGTCTAAGTATGTTAAGTAGTACATTTAATACACTTTGATCCTCCATAAGCTACTATTTTATAAGAAAGAAAACTTAGGTCTTAAGATATCATAATAAGTATGTTAAATTCAGTTTTCAAAATATTTTCTCATCTTTTCAAAGCTCAAATAATTTAAATAGGGCCACAATGTTCCATATTTCACGCACTCTGGATACATGCTTTAGCTTTGTTGTTTGTACATACTGATCAAGAAGACCTTGTAGACTCCTTAAGATACATTCAAGCCATTAATTTTAAAAACATATTTAATCAAAGAATGATATCCAGAGTACATCTGTCATCCTGCCACTTTTAGTCTACAGCTCCAAAGTAGATCTGATCCATACATTGGCTATTTCTCTTTAGTCACTGAATGCAATGACATTCTGATTTAGTTCCTTCACCTGTAATACCAAAGAACTGAGAAAGACCTAAACGTGGACTTCTATATTGCAATCTCTGACTTAAAAGTACTATAATTAGCTGTGCACTAAACACTTGCGAAGTATTCTTCTATCTTTCCATAAGAAATCATAAACTTCCATCTGAGTTGTATCACCCACTAGCTGTGTGAGCCTGAACAAGTTCGTTAAGTGCTATATGATTCAGTTTCCTCACTGGCAGGAAGGAGAGGCAGTAAGGCCCACCTTACAGGTAGTACTAAGGACCCCAGGAGATGATGTAGCTATACATCCCACCCTCAGCTCTTGCAATTACTGCCACCAGGGACAGGGAAACACAAAGCCTAGCTTAATTGCCATCCTCAGCTTTATGCAAAATTTCCATGGGAAAAAAAATTAAAACACTTTGAGACTACTATTTTCTATAACAAATTTCAAAATGTCTTTATAGCTTAAAACAAACTCAGCACAAATACTCAGGTAAGTGTTCGTCTGGCATCAGAGCTCCTTATAAGCAAAGTCCACTTCCTGACTAAACACCACAGATTCATTTACTATGTGGGCCTATTTTCTTCTTCCTCCAACAGACTGTATAAATACTTCTATTTATAAGAGGTTAGAGAACCAAATGCAGCTTGCTACAATTAGACATGCCCAGAATGGAGCCACCTATTCATCAGGCTTTAGGCCCATCCCTCGGGCAGCCTGCAGAGTTTATCTGCCTGACTGGCCTTGCTCCCTATCTAAGACATCACCTCCTCTACTTCAGAGCTCCATACAGAGGGCCCGTCCCCAACAGCCCCAGTAGAAGGCTAATCCACTGTTAGCTTATCTCTTGGCCCTCACCAATGTAAACAATTTGGGCTTAGCTGTCAGAGGGAAAAAATGCTGTCTACTCCAACTTCAGCCCTCGCCTTAGTGGTCTAAGTCAAGCACGGCCTGGCCCTCCAGAAGGCGGCCCCTCACTACTAGGAGGTCTGTATGCAACTCATCTCATCATGCCTGATTGGAAGAAAGGAGTCAACACACATTAAAATATCGAAGTCTCCCATGCACAGAATTTCAGCCTGAAGCTGCCACTCGGCACATGGGGCCCTTATCCAAATAACCGTTCCAAATAACCGTTCTCTGTATTAAACAGGAATGTAAGTGGTTTCCACAGGTTGGAAAAAGTAACCATAGGGTATTTAAATTAATCAGACTAAGAAATTTTAGATACAAACCAATAGGAGGGTTGAACACTAAAAAACAACAAGCAAAACAACTTTTGCTTTCTACCACAAAGTCCAACCTGCACCTTTCCCAAACCAGAACTTTTTCTATTCCGCCTTAATCTCTAACACGAAATGTGAATCAAAACAAAAAGAAAATGATGGGCTAGATTTGAGCGGTTCTCATGGGATGGAGATGCATCCCACTGCAAGGTGATCACCATCTTCCCAGGAAAACCCCCAGAACGTTAGCTGCTCTGTGCGCGAGGCCTCATCCGTGCTGCATCCTCCGGTGGTAACTAGGACCACGTCACCTTCAGTGACGTCCACCTGAAGTAGGTATGAGGCAGCCACCGCAGCCCAGAACTTGTTCCCACCCCTGGATGACACTAGGAAGTAGGGCAAACGAAAAACGGAAACCCAACAAGCACTAGATCTGTGGACACAGTAAACTTTATTTTCTCCTGAAATATTCACAGGGATGTTTATAAGCAATTATATATGACTATATTTTCACAAGGGAGGTAATAAAATTTGCTATTAACTTTTTAAAATATTGTCTTATTTTTGTTTATATGTCAGTCCAAAAAAAAGTCTTCCTCAAGTGTTATATCTTCCCTACGAAATAGGATTTGTGAACAACTTCTGCTATGCTGTTGGATGGAAGCGTGAATGATCATCCTATATAAAGGAAACACCCCTTTCTCCTCCTTCACCCATGGCCTCCTTGCCTACTCTGCCAGAGAACCCTATCTGCTGAAATATTTTCATGGCTAATGAAGCTCAACTGTCAAGAAAAAAAAGAACAAGCAGTGGGTAATAAAATGAAGTCCTTGTGATAATGAAAAGGATCTAATGAGGGAAGAAGTAGGTATTGGAGGTGGGTAAGAAAAAAGGATTTCTTTCCTCTAGAAATGAGCCAAAAACTATATACATAATTTCTTTTAAAATAACAAGGATGACTTACAGTAAACTGAAACTGCAACCTTTATATTATTGTTTTGTTTTGTGGGAAGTACTGGGCATCAAACTCAGGATCCCACACTTGCCAGGCAGGTGCTATGCCACTGAGCAACATCCCAGGCCAATGCAAGCTTTAAAACTCACTGTTGCATTTAGTTCCATTTTAACCTTAGATGAAAAGGTTTCTCAAACAAGTAAGTTACTTCCTTAGACCATCAAACATTATCTGACTGTCTGTGACCGGCTGGAAATTTCTAGAAACTTTTTTTTTTTTTTTTTTGTGGCCGGCTCAGCCCACCCTGGGGGTGGGGCCAGAGTGGCCTGTGGTGCCAGAGATCGAACCGCAGCCCCTGCGCTTGCCTGCTCTTGCCTACACTTGCCTTAGCAGGCACTTCAGACTGCTGAGCTAGCTTGCTGCCAGTGGAAACCCTTTCAACTAACACTACTAAACACTGCGATGCAAGGAACAAAGATGACCGATTCACTCCGCAGATGCTGCATGTGGAGGAAAAGTAAACATGGCCGAACACGGAGAGCGCAGCGCAACTCTTCACACACAGGCGCACACTTCTTGCATTCCGGAGGATTCCATATGAGAAAATGGTCCAGGCCACGAGCTGGCAACTTAGCTTGCTAGGGTGTGCAGTGTCCCTCCGTTTAGGAGACACATGACACATGCTAGGGTCTACTTCCTAGTGAGAATGTGGCAGGAGCAGGCCAGCAGCACTCGGTAAGCGTAGGGCTCTCACATGCGCACACAGCGATACCTTTTCCATCTGGACAGATTCTCCTGAGCTGAAATTTCGTAGCTCTAAAACCTGCTGTGCGTTCACACGGACATTTCACGCATTGTTTTCTTTCTAGATCTTAAAGCTTAACCCTTCCGCAGTCCTTAAATAGA